GACGAGCCAACGCTTTAACCACTAGGTTACCCCACCGCACCTTTTACTTTGACACAACCAGCATGCCACGACTTACGAGAGATCAGAGGGACCAATTCGTGGGACAATTGCAAGTTGTCCAGACGGCATGGATGGATGCCAATCATTTTATTGTTCATGTTAGGACAATCTACCGACTGCAGGAGTGTTATCAGGTCACTGACAGCATCCAAGACCATCCAGTAGTGTAGTGGGCGACATTCAGTAACATTGCAACGTCAAGGCCAACAGATCTGTAGGATCGCTTTCCCATAGCGACGGAAACAGCACGTCATGCTATTGGGACTGACAACAGATATATCAGTGCCAATACAGTGCGTCGATGTTTGCGTGGAAGAAACCTCTGCTATTAGAGTCCCTATCGTGGTCCTGTCCTCACTGCTCATCACCGCCAAACAGCCTATAATGGGCAACTCAGCATCGAAATTGGCGTTATGGACAATGGAGAACTGTGCTGTTATCTCATGGAAGTCAATATTGTGTTTGGACAGTCGATAACAGACTCGATAACATGGTTAAGGCGTGGGGAACTGTTTTCCAATGAGTGTATTGTTGAAAGAGACTAGTGGTCCAAGCATCGTAGTGTGGGGTGCAACCGGTCTGAACCGGTAAGTTGGCACCGTGGTGTTCCAGAATCTTGGTCCAGGATGAGGAAATGACGTGACAGCTGCTCGCTATATTGATTAAGTCAGAAGACCCCACGTTGCACCACATTTTGGATGTTACAGAAATTACATCTTCCAGCAAGACAACGGTCGTTCCGACACTGTCAGAGCAACATTGGACTTCCTAAGACAACATGGCATCCACTCTCACCAATAGCCTGCACTCCGTACAAATTTAAGTCTAGTAAGAAGACCTTTGGGACGAGGTTAAACAAACACTGAATGACCTCCAACCGACAACTGCGACAGGACTCGATCAGGCATTTCGCAGAGTATGGACCCAAGTCCCTATGGCCTTCATTGACCGGCTAATTCATTCCATGTACAGGCGATGCAACGATACTGAATTTGGGGTACATCTTTTTGTGATTTTGATTGTGTGAACTCTAAATGTGATTCCTGAAAATGTGTTAACCATAACTGACAAGTTTGAACTCGGTCCTCTGTTTTGATTGTTAATTAGAGTGAATTAAAGTGTGTGCTTTAGGAATCACTATCAGTGCGACATTTCTTTTGTGGTTCAGTATACTCGGTCTGGATTATCAGGACTGAAGCAACTGAAATACATGTCCTCACCTCTGGTGAACCAGTGGGCTAAAGGCAGGAGTGCTGGGAAGCTACACCCTTTATAGGGCTAGAGGCAGGCAGTGCATGTGCTGCACATGCCAGGCGGACTACACCAACCTGCCGAGTGTGCTGTGGCTATGCATACCAGCATAGCCGAGAACACACTAATACCCCATGTTAGGTAAACCCAAGCCCAAATAGAACTCAAACTTTACCCCAAATATCCTCAACTACCACACATATAATTACCATCAGTAATTCAGCAATCCGGTTAAATATCATCTTTTATGTGGGATGTGATTTATATCTGTCATAGCTTAATAACCTTCCAATTGAATCTGAACTGATAAGTGTATGTGCAACCTCCCACCCCCAACCCCCGCATTATACTTGCACTTTCAATTGGGCTGTGGCCTTTCACAATAATAGAACTTATCCTGTCCTATAGTCTGTCGTACAGACCCTGAAGCAAATATATCCAAGAAAGGCAACGCAAGTCTAGAAAATGTGGTAAGTCTAGATTTACTCAGCTTCAGGGTCTGTACCAATCTGCTGAATTCACTAGCCAGAATATGGCTTGTAATTATCAGTTGATCTCTAGCTGTCACTATTGTTTAATATTAACTCATGGGGAGCCTCCAACACCCCTCCCCAAGACCCAACGCTGAGCCAAGACCTCCTGCTTCTGCCTGTCCTCTCACTCCAGACATGTGTGATTACACTAAAGACCTGATGACTTATAAAATCTGAGTATTTTCTTAAACTGGCGAGGAGAGGGGATCATTTCGAAAAGTTTTCCATCTCAGGGTAAAAAATGAATTGGAACTTTGATGAGGATGAAAGCAAATATGCATAGCATTCGTCCAAATCATAATACAATGATTGAAAAGTTCTTAAGTGGTGAACATGTGTTGTTTTGTTCTCCATCCAGGAGTGGAAAATCACTGACATCCGAAATTCTTCCTATTCACACAAGTTAGTAGAAAATACAAGCTATGCTACTGTTATTGTTGTGTCATCCTTGATTTGCATGATGAAGAGACAAACAGAGAAATATAAATCATTAGGCTCAAAGCAGTGTACCTTAACATGTATGCATTTGTGACTTTATCCATAAACTTTGAAAATAGATTGTCATGGGGATCTGATGGCATATTGTTATCCCCCGCAACAATGAAGTTGCCGGGGAATACAGAAACGAGTTCCGTCCGTCCGTCACGCTTTGTCCGAAGCATATCTCCTAAACTATTTGTGATAGCTTAACCAAACTTGGTACACATGTCAAGCATGATCCCTAGATGTGCCTTTTGGGGGTTAGACCCAGATAAGAATGTTACTATTTGTTGTTTCCATGGCAAATTGACTTGGGCTGTGACTATGAGAATATCATCTTGTCCGAAGCAAATCTGTACCGCCTCCGTGGTGTAGTGGTTAGAGCGTCCGCCCGGAGAGGGGAAGGTCGCGGGTTCGATCCCCGACCGCGTCATACCAAAAGACCTCAAAATCTGGTACTTGTTGGTCCCTGTCTGGCGCTCGGCATTAATGGGTACAACAAGGACTGGTCGGCTCGGAGTCAGTATAATGTGTCTGAGTGGGGTATTCATGCTTCACGAAATATTCTCAAGCACGACGTTAAACCCAATTTCACCTCACCTCACCGAAGCAAATCTCGTAAATTATACATGCTAGCTTCATCAAACTTGGTACTCAAGCATGATCCATAAATGTGCCATGTGATGGTTAGACCCACATATGAATTTTATTTTTTGCGGTTTCCATGGAAACGTGACTTGATACACATGGTAAACTTGGTACACATATCAAGCATGATCCATAAATGTGCCATTTGGTGGTTAGACCCAGATAAAAAAATTATTTATTTTTGGTTTCCATGAAAACATGACTTAGGCTGTGACTATGAGGATGTCATCTTGTCCGGAGCAGATCCTCCAAACTATACATGCAAGCTTCATCAAACTTGGAACATATGTCAAGTATGATCCATAGATGTGCCTTTTGGGATTTCTGAAAATGAAGAAAGTCTCAAGGCTCCTTTTCATTATATATATATTTTTTTTACTATGAACGTTTTTCAGTAAAATATGTTCATTTCAGAGACTAGTTGTCAGTCTACCTATCCTACACTTTACTGTACTATTCTGTGAGACGCAAGTAGATATTACAATAGTGATACCTACCAGGTAAACTGGACTCTATTTCTGGTATAACACGTGCTTCAACTTACGCTGAAGGGGTCGTTGTCGGCACGAGTACTACAGATATGTACCCCAGGTACGTTTCTGTATACAGATATGTAAACTGGCCATAATGAGAATACAGAAACGACCCTAGGATGATTCCATTCCCATTGTGTCGTATTCTTGATCGGAACTGTCATGCTGTTGTATTAGATAAATTTGATTGCGTTATGTAAGTAATGAAAATACACAGTAACGGATATTTCGCGATGCACATGAATACCACTCGGAATCAGTTGAACGGAAACAACTATAGGTGTCGGTTTGGGATGGCGGAATATGGACTCGTCCGCCTTTTAGGATACCAGGTACCTTTCTGTATTTTGACTTTGTTTAGGGTACATATCTGTATACAGAAACGTACCTGGGGTACGTATCTATAGTACCTGTGCCAACAACGTCCCCTTCAGCTCAACTTACTGTTACTATGGTGATTTCAAAGCAGTCACTCAATGTTCCATGAGAGATTGAACATCTCATGTTGTTGTTGCTTCCGTGATTTGGAGTGACCTCCCCTTGATCTATTCTATTTCCGGGTCCAAACAAAGGACACGTGAAACGCGCTCCATCTGCTGATAAGAACCAGTCAGACACCTTGCCCGTTGTGTTACTGATTAATTTGCTCGAAAATGTGTTTTGCTCCTGCATCATATCTGAATATTTCGTTGTCGATTAACAGCTCACTGACCCTCAGGTTTGGTCGTTTCCAAGCCTTTTGCGCTTCAGTAAACCATAAGCTGTTAAGGCACTTTTGACTTGGCGGGGAAATCCCCGGTGATTGTAGCAGATCTTTGGCCTGTTTGCAAGTATTACATTTGCCACTCGTGGTTATAATCTTAACGGCGTTCTATCGCTGTCTAAGTCGTTCTTACGATCGTACGCTGCAATTGAAGTCAATTGCAATGACTCGAGCACGTTGACCAGCGTCGAGACTTCCAATGGCTTGTTGTCGTTGATCTCTCGTTAACCTCGACATAGCTGCTGTGTTCAGAAAACAAGTGAACAATGCCATTCAAGCTGGCAATTTATGCCTGAATGCATACATGATGCACGTGCATCTCGATTTCAATGCTGTTTTTGTGCGTACTCTTCTCTTTCCATAAACAAAAACATTTCTAACTTCAACCTCAAACAATATTTTATTAGGCAAAACAAGCTATACGACCAAGATTCATGTTTTCCTCAAACTTGACTTCCGGTGTTTATTTGAAAAAAAAAAGTTCAAATACGCCATTGATATTCAAATGCCACTTCCAATATTACGGTGTTTCTTTTGCCTCTCAGTATATTATTATTATAAGGAATCGATTAAAGTAATGTTTCGTGACAGTTATATGATCAACAGCCAAACTGGACGATTTCTTGTATTTAGAACATCCTAGAACATGATTCTGTAACACAGTACGAATGATAAAATATCAATGAATGTTCAGACAAAACAAAACACAAATGGAAACGTCTATGCACATACCTCCAACATGAGACAACAGTGTCACCAACAAAGTTCCTCCAATTAGAATCACCATTTCCATCATCGAGTGTCATTCCTAAAAATGTATGAATTGAAAACATGTATAACCAACATAGCAAATGTGACCTTATCTAAAATAGGTTTTCAAACATTTCCAATTAAATTTTGTATATCGAGATTATAAATTTTATACTTTTTTCAAAGGTTCACGTATTGTTTTTCTTTTCGTGTAACATCATAGCTTCACTACAAGAAAATGCTAAAAACGTGAAGCGGACAGTTTCTGTCAAGGTTTTAATTATGGATATGGCACAATACACATATCATCCAAGTTGGCTCAAAATGTTACAAGTATAGAGCCAGAGAGAGATCAGGCAGTATGGCGTGTGTGTGATGAAACCTCAACGCGTATTTTAACCTGGGAACGTTGTACAATAGATATCTAGTGTACCCTCCATGTGTTCAGACTACTGCCATTTGTCGTCGTATTCGCTGCCGAGGAAACTATCGCCATTCAGGGTGCAAAGCTGCTTCCAACTCATGCAGCTTTAGAACAGGTGGTACACATGCTTGTAGCCGTCGCTTGATAAAGTCATGGGGTCCAGGTCCATCACACAAGGAGCCTGAGGTACTGAACGAAGCTGGTTCCTCTATGTGAAATAGATGCTGATGCGACGGTACATTTTAACTCAAAAGGTTCAGTGATGTGTCAGTCACACAGTAGTATCAGTTATGTGTCTTAGATAGTGGCGAAACTATACCCAGTGAGTTTGAATACGCACCACACCACACCACACCCACACCACACACACCCACACCCCTGTTCTGGAACAATGACATGATCAGTAGGTCAGAACTTTCATACTTCTACAAGGGCGGTAATGGCTGGTTATCTAATGGTAGATTAAATTAGACAAACAAAATTTAGGCAGTTTGTTAATTCGTATGGTTTGTGAGAAATGCCAACACTCTTGAATTTGTGGAAAAGCACTTCATTGAATAAGTATTGTCTTTGCACGATTCATCATGAGATAGTGTCGGATCTCACTGTCTGTATAGGCACCTTGAAATCTACCGAGGTGGATTGACGTCTCGGTTCGCGTCTCTCACGTCTTCACGGACCAGATTGCAATCTTCCGCTGGAGTGGTCTTCCTGAGTTGCTCTAGCGTTGGTCGATCCTTGACTTACAGCGCCTGTTTGTAGGTGTTAAGTCTACCGAGTGGCAGCAACCAAACCTTGAATCACATGCTAGCTGCATGCTTACCCACTGTCATCTCAGTCCATATGGCAGTCTTCTCATCGCCATGTTAACGTGTCTCGATGAAATGGATGGCATATCCCCATGTTTTATACCCTTGAACGGACAGGAGATAGTGCTTTTCGTGATATGTGTGGGTAGCAAGCTTCACACGCATGTGGGATGCGTTTTGGCAAACCCTTTGAAACCATGTTTTTCATTACATGCTCGTGCAGTTCTGCTATAAAAGTCATACAAAATCATTCGTTTGCATCACATGATAACATATCTCAACACAACTATGCCAAAACTGACTGCAGTTCAACGAGAAACAGCCGTTGGTATGGCCCGGTTTGGCGTTGTACAAGCGCATATTGCAAACACCTTTGGATGTTCTCGCAATACCACAGTGAGGCTCAAGCAACGTTTACGGCAGAAAGACTACAGTCTGGCCTAGAAGTGGAAGACCACGTGTCACTACACCTGCAGACCGTTACCTGAGAGTCACCCTACTGAGAAACAGGTTCATCCCAGTGACGTCATCATGCTCTGGGTCACGTCATCATTCGACAAACTGTGTCAAGGCATTTGAGGGTATTCGATCACATCGCCCTTACCGTGGACTCAACCTATCACGTCAACATTGTATCCTCCAGTATTCTGTCCAGTAAAATGAAATTTACTTCCTACTTGTTTGTTTTCTTTATTTCCTATTCAGCTACTCAGCGTGCAGTAGCAACATGCTGTTGTAACACCATAAGATAAGTTTCCATCACTATGATGAAATATATTTGGGGTTGCTGAATACAATTCCATGTGTATACGTAGTACAAAATAATTGTTGCGAATAAAGTGCAAAATGTTTTGTATACAGAGATGAAACAAGGTTACAATTAGAACATTTCTAAAATTACAAACAGAAACAGATCTCGGTTGGTTACACAAATAACATTATAGTCCAGGGACATCACGCTGATAAGTAATCACCAACACTGAATACTATCTTAAGTAACAAATACGTGGTATGTCCGCTTTTTATGTCTTGTTTGTCTAGGTATTTAGTGTGTCCTTACCTAAAGTGAGGATCGTTTTATTAATGAAAAGATCATCGTGGAAATGCATCACAACCAAGCATTCGTTGAAGTAGACATGCATTAATATGTGAGCGAAAAATGCGCCAGACAAAAACTGCTTCTTACCACCAGCTAAATACAGACGAGTGTGACCCACATACAGGTGTGCTCCGGTAGTGGCTGTGGTTGATTGTGAATATATGATAATGGACGCCTGACTGGAAGGTAGTCGATTAAACAAGACACATGTTACCTGACGTTCATATAGCATGTACACTGATTAAAACAGTAAACTATTTGAGTAACAAATATATAACTTATGTAACGACTGTCATATACTCCATTTTTCTGAACATTATCTGAACTACCAGTAAGTTTAAGTTAATGAGAGCGTCACTATATGAGCTTGCATCAGTTTGTGTGTGGTGTGGGTGTCAGTTGTCAGTGTCGAATGTAACTTGTTTATTCGAAAATGGTGAAAGATTCAAATAAGTTATTGGGGCTTTCAAAGAACCTATATTGGTTAGATTCAAACTTTATCCAAAACACGTGCCGAGTGGCATAAATATTACGGAATTAGGTTTATATTCTGCATGTAATGATTGTATTTTCACATTTCGAGTTTACCTGGACACAGAGATAGATTACATCATTCATATACTATTTCCGACAACCACCGTACATACAGAATGGAAGAAATATAATACTCCATCAATGAAAACTTTACTTACATAACGTATGTCATGTACTCCTTTCGATTGAAGGCAGTCCGACCAACCAGGAAGTGAAATCTAATTTTAGCCTCATCCTTTGACAGGATATTCCGGTGTTGTCAACACCCATACTGTTGAGTACTGTTACACTCACCCGTTATTGTTTATCCCTTTTGAGAGTTGCTTAAAATGAGACATTATATTTTTTGGCAAATTATTTCCTGATTTCTTAGCATTCTCAGGCGGAGGAATATATACTATGGCGTGACTTGAACCAGGCAGTGGTTAATTTATGCATATGGTTTGACGCGACCTTAAACGCCAACCAACGAAGAGGAGGATTAATCCAAACTTTGTAGGACCTGTCAATCAAGGCGAGAGGTGAATGAGTGAGTTAAGATTTTTTAGTCACATCGGCAATATTGCAGCCATATCGTGACTGTTATACAAGTTATAATATTATAATAAATCATTATAAAAACCTGTCGGGGAAAGACGGTAAAATACTAGAGTATCACAGATGTAACAGTAAAACAAGAATGAAAATGTAAATATCTTAACTATAAAAGACAACACAATATTTAAAAAGCTGCTATAGATCGCCAACAACTGAAGGTAGATCACCATACAAGGGACCATGGGGACTTACAGTTCCTTTGCTACCTGCATGGACCTTAGCTGGATTTATATCATCCCTTCAGCCATTGGCGAGCGTGGTCAAAATTAGCCACACTTTAAGATAACACATATTCTACAATTAAAAACACGTGATATGAAGAATCATTTCAATGAAATGGGACAAGGCGAGAGGAGCTGCAACAACAAACCGGAGAAAACATGGGAGAAGGCAGACGTTTTGAATGACATGGTCAAAAACCACGCCGAACCACAAATGCACACAGTTTGAAAAAAATGCATTTTTCATACAAAACCGAAGTCATTAATATTTCTGGAACTCAGGCGAGCGAAAAACAGTTCAAGACGAGATTAAGGTTTGTGCGATCCTCAAAAATACATGAATATCGCAAAAGGTTATTTTGCATAATGATATGCAGCAGAGAAATAATTCCCTCGCCTGAAATAAAAATTTACATTCACATTCCGTAGGAAAGTAGTCGGCATTACTGTTTTAGGTTGACGGCTATTCTTGATTTTATTATCTCCCTGTCAATATCAAACGGTCTGTCTGTGCGTCCCAGGGCACATGATGGTTACACAAAACCAAATATTTCCCATAGACTTCTCTACTAACGTTAGTACTTACCCACGCTGTCAACAGCCTTCCATGTACACATGGGTACAGTCCTTTAAACTACAATAAAAACACAAATTCCGCTTAGCTTTGCCTGCTCGTTTTCCGCGCACATGTACATACTTCTACAGACGCTTTTCCCTTCAATATCAAACTGGATAGCCTGTATATGTTTATTTTATGACGTCACATAAAAGGCATTTTGTAGACCTGGGTTGAAAAATACAAGAACAATTTTTTCAAGAGATGATTTTGTTATTGGATTCGCTTCATCCTATGTTCAGTGTAATTTCGGGAACACTTTATGTTTTCTTTTCAACCAATCAAATATTTGGGTGAAACTCAATGTAACTCACTTTTTACCAATAATACAACTGGTTCGAAGTTGATTCCCCTTTTAAACCCAACCAACTTGCTCTGTCAAATTCGGTTGATTCCTTATGGGCTCTGGGAAATCTTATCTTATCAGTATCCTTATCCGAAAATACATTTTCAAGTTTGTTTACACTCTATGATAGGTGGGAAGCGGTGATGTTGAACCTATTTTTATTCACTATGGCTACCCACCATCTCTCTGGTTCTCGTTCAAAATAAAACTGAGAGCATGTCGATTTAGAAGTTATCTCGTCTTCTGGTAATGAATCAAGGACAAATTTAAATCCTTGGTCCCGTTTCGTGAATGTACAGAGAAATCAAAGACAACAACTAAAACTCAATCCTTTCGTAATATCTGAAGCTGTGACAGGAATATGTGTCGAAGTCAAAAGCGTTACTCGTCTCAAAAATGTCACTGTCTCTCCTTGCTGTTGGAGTGTGGAATACATGACAAAATGATATCAAGTGTGCAAACTGTCATGGTGATCATATGTTTTCCTCAAGATCATGTCCAGCCTTTAAAAGACAAGTCCAAAATTCTAAAAATTAATACACACAAATAATGTGTCTTTTGCTATAGCAAAGACGTTGTTACCAAATCTCCCCACATAAATGACTCCGCTGCAGTATCTACGTCCCGTCCGAAGGTTGGCCATAAGTGTCAGACGGCCATAAGTGCCGACAGGCAGACTATTCCCTATAGCATTTCTGATGACGATGCAGGAACATCCAATCAGACAGTACCTGGTCCCCTAATACAAAAACATCCTGAGACACCAGCAAATACTTCTAACAAACAGCCCGACATCGTTCATTTGTCAAAAAAAAAGAAGAAACGACAAACAATCGAATAGGAAACAGTCATATACTGTCCTTTTACTTTCAGAGGCTCCTCAAGAACTCATTTGGGCCTCAAAACATGGAGGTTACCCTGTCCCGACAGTAATGCAGAGGAAAGGCTCCTCCTCACGAGAGAGTTCGCCAGTTCAACCACGATGCCTCAACTGTCCAATATTATTCAATGGAACTGCATGATTTCAAAATAACTTTAACGAAATGTATTTATTAATACAGTATTTTTATGCATCGGCATTTTTTTCTTCCAGAAACATATCTAAAAATAGAGATACCTTAAACTTAAGATTATTGTACAGTGATTATCATTCTTTTTCCCCTCCAGTAGACAATGCATCTGGAGGTGCTTCTATTTTAGTATAACAGGACATCTTTCAAACTGTTGCTGTTCTTCTGACCCTGCAGATTGTATACCCCTACATCTACTCTTATTCTACAGTCGGATCTTCAAGATCTGTAAGATCAGCTTCCAAAGCCATGTCGTATCATGGTTAATCTCAATGGACACAATGAGAAAGTGTTCATATTAAAGGTAGAATCCTTCAGGAAAGTATTTCAGAGAATAGTCTCCTTATATTTAACAACGATTCAACTACCTATCCACAACCAGCGACCGGAACATATTTTGCCGTAGATCTGCCTCTCACCAATTCAGCCTTATATATTCATGATAAAAAGTAAACCAACATATGTATATTAAGATGAAAAACTGGACAAACGTCTCGTTCCCGGTGGTTTGAAGGCAAGACTACCTCTCAAGCGCCCTCATTTACTCCCTCACCACAAGCAAGCTTGTTTGCACAGGGCCCGTATCATATGGACGGACGAGTCCCGATTCAATCTTCACGTCGCTGATGGTCGCGATGCTGATGGTCAGAAGGACTGTTGGAGACAGATTGAACCCCATATCTGTTCTAGCTGGGTCTGGCAGGTCACCGCCACAAATTGTACAGGAATCGAAAAATCAACCTCTAACTGAATCTTTGGAATGTCCCAGTGTCAGTCCAGACCTAAAACCCATAGAACATGTTTTGGATGCAATTTGCTGCAGTGTTACATACATACATACATACATGCATGCAAACTTTTGTAAAGCACTAGTATCCAGCGTAAGCTGCTCAAAAGCGCTAGTGTCTGAGATAATTGAAAAGGGTCACTGAAATGCCATATTGAAGAAGAAAGTTTTGAGCTTAGATTTGAACGTGGACAATGTTTGCTCGGTTCTTATGTCAAGTGGGAGACTGTTCCAGAGAAGGGGTCCTGCACGTTCAAAAGAGCGGTCGCCAAACGTTTTTGTACGGGAGGAGGGTACAGTTAGGAGAGACTTTTTTTTCTTTTTTTTTTTTTCATAGTCAAAGTCTTTTTATTGTCTATAGGTCACAGTCCGTATACAACATATATACAATTTTCACATACATTTACACATGTATACAATAACAAAGGTTGAGATTACAACACATATATATAATGTCATAGTACATGGGGAAATCCTACAAAAATATATATCTTACTGAATTGGGAGGTATTTTGATGCTCTAAGTTCATATGCATGGTATAAATATCTGCATAATTTTCTAGAAGTGTTTCGTTATTAGTAGTTTTTGTTTTGGGTTTTTTTTTGGGGTTTTTTCCATCATAAGTTGTATATAATGTCATATCTGATATATCATAAGTATATAGTATTACATCCCATATGTCAAGTTGTAAATAGCATCATATATGAACATATCATATTGTTTATAGCACCACATCTGACATATCAAGCTGTATATTGTGTCACATCCAACATATCATGTTGTATATTGCATACACATTCAACATATTTTGTTGTATACGGCGCCACATCTGACATACCACGTTGTATATAGCGCCACATCTGACATATCATACTGTATATAGTGCAACACCCGACATAGCATAATGTAGTGTCACGGCCAATCTATCGTGTTGTACATCTATCGTGTTGTACATAATGTATTATCTGATATACATTGTAAATATGTCTTATCTAACATGTGTTGTATGTAGTGCCACAATTATTCTGACATGTCATGCTGTGTCTTGTGTCACATCCAATGTGTTGTGTTATATATTGCGCAACATCCGGCTTATTGTGTTGTATATTGTGTCTTATATCCAACCTATAATATGTGTTCCCCAAAGTTACACCAGTGCCATTAACTAGCTAGTCAATATATAACTAAAACAATGATGATTTTTCAAAAAAGGAAACAGATCAAGATTTTACAAAAGAAGCGGTTGCTGCATACACAGGTCAGGTTTGGAATAATGGATGCCATTTATTAGCAAATTTCTTCATTTTATTCTTCCTTTTGGCAATGAAGCTTTCAACAGAAAAAATATCTTTTAAAGTCTTTATAAAGTTATCGCATTTTGGAATATTGTTTTTCAAAGAAGAGACATAGATCTGTCTTTTTGCTGAAATGATTATATGATTAAGTAATGGGTTTTTACTTAAGGAGCCAAAATACACCAAATATTTTGTCAAATTGACTTTTTGTATCAAATAAGGGTTCATCCAAATTCGAAGATCCTTCCAAAACTTCTTAGTTTCACTACATTCCCAGTAAACATAGCACAAGTTTTCATCTTCATCTTTACAAAAGCTGCATGAAACGCTCTGGATAAGGTTCATTTTTAAAAGTTCCTTTTTG